CCCACCGTCCCCACTACAAGTGCCCCAAGCCCCACCACCCACAAGCCTTTCCCCACGGTCCCCACTACAAGTGCCCCAAGCCCCACCACCCACAAGCCTTTCCCCACGGTCCCCACTACAAGTGCCCCAAGCCCCACCACCCACAAGCCTTTCCCCACGGTCCCCACTACCTCACCCCTTTCCCCCACTCCCACCGACGACTAATCATGACGATGACGATGACGATTGTCAACGACGACGGTTCGTTCTAATGAGGGCTCCGTTGCGTTCGGTTTTAATGTAACAATGATACTCGTATGACGTTAGCACTTGACCCAAGGCAACGTGCCCGACACCGTCCACCATCGCTGCAGTGTCGAACCATCATGACGTGGCAAAATTTCATGTAGGTCGCCGCCTGCCTCAATGTACGATGTCAATGTACGATGTTGGTCGATGGTCGTTTAGGCACAGCGTTTTATCTCGAGAACGTGTTGGGGTCCCGAAAGTACGTGCGATCGAGGACACGAGGTAGAGCAAGCTGCAGTGCCATGCAAGCCGACCTAGCAACATGGATGCCTGAGGGGCAACATGAAAAGTCGGATCCACGAGGTAGAGCGGAGGAGGGTCTGGCCGCGTCCACAATTGCCCGTCTTTTCCAAGCCCATCTATCCCCGAGTTCGAGTGTGCCAGTAGCCGCCGCACGCCGACCGAAATCAACTTCTCGACAACCACGTCCTATCCAGTAAAGCGTCATTTCTAGTCCAACCAGACGTGCTCGACATGGCCACAGCACCTTTGGCAGCGGCCAACGCAATGTCGTTGCGTATCCCGGGATATGGAGCCACCAAACGTTCGAGAAGGAACGATGGGCACAGGTTGCTCCTGCAGGTACTACCTACACCGGCTGGTGACCACCGCCCTTGCAAGCAATCGATTTCTTCCGTCGAAATGGAGCACAACACGCGCCGAGGTTGTATCCCTGAAGTATGCTCGTGTACATAAGGGGCTGCTGGTGGTCACAGCCACGTTCCCTCACTCGCGCGTCATAGAATGGAAGTGATGTGTATGTGGCATACTCGCACCACAAATGGCAGCGATGGGTACTGAAAGGAGGACAGGAAGGCCATCAATATGAAGCATCGAATGCAGATAGAGCTCCATTCGCTTCTGACCATCAAGTGGTTCGAGAACGCTGTGCGGCCAACTCCATCATCCTCCAGCAGTAGGTTGAGAACTCCGCCGCCGTGTCGATGAAATCGCAAAATATTTTATGAATATTTCGGACTATTGTAAGAAATCTCGAAATTGGGATCAATACTTGGAAAACGCGCGATTGTTGTGGGGCTTGTGGTGCATTCCCAACCGGTCGTTCTGATTGGTCGATGGAATATGTTCCAGTGCTGTGATTGGTTTGTTTCCCACTTCACATGGCAAGGCGTTGCGGAGCCAGGACAATGGTTTGGGCGACTGGTGGTCCCCTCGACCGCAGTTGACATGGCGGCGGAATTCGTTGTCGGCGGTAAGCCAGGAGAAGTGGTGTGTGTACTGGGCGGGCGCCCCATGTTCAAGGCGATAGGGCTGAGAGCGTAGATGTTGAATATGCCACATCTCGCTCGCTGACGGCGCCTGGTTACATTGCTAGCAACGTCCCACTGAAACTGAGTACATGCTGTCGCCGTTGTGGGGGGGTGGCACTGAATCTCAATCATTACTTGGTCAAACCAGCCCCACTATAGCATAAAAAAAGGGGAGGGGGATGGGTCTATTTCGGGTCTGCTGTGGGAAGAGCCAGTTGTTTCCTGCCCGACTTCGATTGGAGCAAGCGCGAGTGACACAACTAACGCCATTGGCTACAACTGGGGCGCCAGCGCTCATCACTGGTTGCGAAGGTCCTTGGCAAGCGCATGATAATTGAGCCTGTGGGCGCCACCAGCCCTTCCCCAGGCGCGAGCGTCTTCCTTCTCCTCGTAGGACTCTTGACCTTCGATTGCGACGTTTAATGCCATTGCAGCCAACGCTCACTCAGTCCTTGGACCTGCTGACGTGGCTTTGGCCTGGTAGATGTGGCAGGCATGGGCTGGCTGGCGCAAACGGCAGGCAGTGCGTTCAACATGGGACGTCTGACGCCCAATTCGCAAGTTCAAGGTGCGAACCTGAGCAAATTCGGATGATTCGAAATCCACCAATCCAAGGGACGGAATCTTCCGGATACCGGTATGACTGGACGGAGCCCTTCATTTTATTGGATTGCAAGGGATTTCCCATGGAAAATGGTACAATTTATATGAAAATTATTAAAATTTTTGAATTCCCCACACCACGTCCGCTCATTTTCGCTTTTGACTTCGGAGGAAGGATGTTGTCCCGCATTTCAAGCCGCGCGCCTGTCCGCTCCATGGCGGCGCCTGCCAGCGCTGTCCGCGCCTTCGGCACGGTAAGATTGTGCAGAATTTCGTGTGGTTCAGGGGATCATGCAACATGCATTGAAAGCAAGTCTAATTTCTTGCTTGCAGGCCGACAATGAGACCAAAGAATCTCTTGCCAAGGCGTTGAGTGACTTGCAAAAGGAATCGGCTGCGAAGACCGTGCCTTGGTTCTTGGACAACATGCCTGCGGCGTACTTCCGCGCAATCACCAAGGAAGACCGACTCCAGCACTTAAATGCGCTCACCGCGTTGGTGAACGCGCAACAACCTGAAGTTATGTTGAGCTCCCCGGACAAGAAAGTGTATTCGTACATCCGCACGGGCGACTTGTACCCTGGCTTGTTGTCCGATATCATGGACCAATTGCCCAAGGACCAAGGCGAGTTAGCGCGCGTCAAGATTTTCTCGTCGTTGGACGACTCGTTGGCCGTGGATGTGTTCCGCTTTGGTCGCCAAGAGCCTTTCCGTGGCACGACCCCCGAAGAAAAGTCTGCCCGTGACAATTTACAAGCGTACGTCGCTGACATCCAAGCCGGCAAATATGCCGGTGTGGAAGGTGTGCCGGCGCCTGCTGCCTACTTCTCACCCGAAGCTGTGGACGAATTCCTATCGTTGTCCAACTCGATGTACGTCAAGTTCAGCAGCCCTCGTCGCCTGGCGTCACAAATCGCGCTGTTCCACCGCATCCGTGGCACGGAGGGCGTTTCCGTCAGCATCGAACACGGCTGGGAAAGCAAGAGCGAAGAAAACAAATTGAGCGGCGGCAAGGTGCCGCAAACCATGATCACGTTGGCTGCGTCGAACGTGTTGACTAAGCACATGTTGCAACGTGCCGCCACCTACTTGGGCTTGAGGAACTTGAACGTTCGCCGAGCCCACTTGGACGTGATCGACGACCGCAAGAAGGGCTCTGGCACCGTACGTGATCGATCGCATTCAGGATGTGAAAATGACTTTGTTGCATGTCGCAGGTGTCGATGATCCGTATTTTGGTCTCGCCGTCCGAAGAAGACTACCGCAAGAACACGCAGCTTGACTGGAAGCAAATTGAGTACGACCTGCGATACCTCAAGTGGCTCGACGACAAGCCGCTCAACATTGCGTTGTCTCACAAGAACGTCGTGGATCTTCCCCACGCCGAAATCATCGTCACGTACGCGCACATGTTGCACGGTATCCTGGCCAAGGTCGACCCGTACGCGTACTCGTTGCCTCGCATCTTTGAGTTGCTCAACCACCCGACAAACGTGGCGTTGGCCGCGTCGATCGCCGATCTGTTCTTGGAACGCTTCGACCCGAACGCCCCCAAGAAGATGTCTGGTGAAGAACTGAAGAACCGCATCGAAGCCATCAAGGTTGAAATCCGCAAGAACGTGGAAGCCGAAGACACGATCCGTCTTTTGAACACGTTCGCCGATGCCGTTGGTGCCACGTTGCGCACCAACAAGTACGTCCGCACTCGTTATGCGTTGGCGCTGCGCATGGACCCCGACTTTGTCGGCTACGGCACGGTATGTCTTTTTTGTTACAATTGACGGATCCATCGCTGATGCCTGAATTTGTGTAGGTCGGCAAGGAAACCCCGTATGGTGTGTTTTTCATTCACGGTCGCCGCTTCAAGGGCTTCCACGTGCGCTTCCGCGACATCGCTCGCGGTGGGTTGCGTGTGGTTGCTCCTGCCGGGTCGGACGCACACGCTTTGGAATCTGCCCGCCAATACAATGAAGCGTACAACTTGGCGTTTGCCCAGCAATTGAAGAACAAGGACATTCCTGAAGGCGGGTCGAAGGCTGTTGTGTTGGTGGAACCCCGCAGCACCAACTACGACTCAACGACCCGCAACTTTTTCATCCGCAAGAGCGTCAAGGCGTTCTCGGATGCACTGTTGGACTTGAACACGACGGACGAAGCCGTCAAGTCTCAAATTGTCGACTACTATGGCAAGGACGAATTGATCTACTTGGGCCCGGATGAGAACATCATCCCCGAAGACATTACGTGGATGACTAAGCGCGCCGCGTACCGTGGGTACCCCATTCCCCGTGCTTTCATCAGTTCCAAGCCCGATGTGGGCATCAACCACAAGGTGTACGGTGTCACGTCGGAAGGTGTCGCCGTGTTTGCCGACGTTGCTCTGCGCTCGCAAAACATCGACCCCAAGAAGCAGCAATTCACGGTCAAGATCACGGGTGGTACTGACGGCGATGTTGCCGGTAACATTATCAAGATCTTGGCGCGCGAATACGGCTCGAACGTCAAGGTCGTGGGTATTTGCGATGGTACGGCGTCGATGGACGACAAGGACGGCATCGACATGGACGAACTTTTGCGCCTTGTGGAAGAATCGCTGCCGCTGTCGAGCTTCAGCGCCAACAAGGTGAAGAACGGCAACTTTTTGCTCGCCGACACCCCCGCTGGCATCCGCGCACGCAACACGCTGCACAACCGCGTCAAGTCGGACCTGTTCATTCCTGCCGGTGGTCGCCCCAACACGATCAATGAAAACAACTGGAAGGACTACCTCGACGCGACTGGCAAGGCGTCGTCGCCGTTGATTGTTGAAGGTGCCAACTTGTTCGTGACCCCCGAAGCGCGTCAGTTGTTGTTTGACAACGCCGGCGTGGTAATCGTCAAGGACAGTTCGGCCAACAAGTGCGGTGTCATTTGCAGTTCGTACGAAATCGTGTCGTCGATGCTGCTGGAGCCGCAAGAGTTTTTGGACATCAAGGACGAACTCGTCCACGACGTTGTGGAAAAGTTGCGCCATTTGGCCCTCGTCGAAGCCGAATTGCTCTTCCGTGAATACAAGCAGAACCCGAACGCTGCGCTGCCACCGTCGTCCGAGCGCATCTCGCGCGCTATCACGCGTCTCCATGACTCGATTGTCGCCAACTTTGACAACATCGCTGAAGACAACCGCGACTTGTTGTACTCGTTGATTGAAGAACACTTGCCCGCCAAGTTGCGCGAAGTTGCGTTGGACCGTGTGACCAAGCAAGTCCCGCTCTCGTACATCAAGTCGATTGTGGCGGCCGGTTTGGCGAGCAAGATTGTGTACCGCGAAGGGTTGCAATACGTCGAATCGTTGCCTGCGTCCAACTTGTCCAACATTGCCGTGTCGTACTTGAAGCAAGAAAAGAAGGTCAAGGCACTCGTGTCCGAAATCGAAGCCTCGGGCTTGCCCCACCGCAGCGACATTGCCGACCTCTTGGTCCGTGGCGGTGTCCGAGCCGGTGTCACCACGTTGTAAGTAAAACCAATACACACTGTACAGAAAACGCTGCAAAACGAGCGCTTGGCATCTCGCTGCATCACGATACCGACAACATTCATATTGCACAGCGCCGTCCAAGTTTTAGGCTGCGTGGGGAGGACGTTGGGAGGCTGGAGATCACGAGAATGCAAGCGTCAACGAGCAAATTGTGCACGCCCCGACTTTGCGTCCATCTCGCGCAGTTGTTGATGCGCCGCGGCGTTCTGAGCAACTCGTGCAGGGCTGCATATGACGCCGACGGAACATCAAAGCTCTGTCGTGCCTTTCGTCAGATCAAGTGGGAAGAGCACTGCATTCAGCAGTTGTTCATGTATCTACTCCTGCTGACATGCGTCACAGTCTGCGGTCCTTTCGAGTGAGGCCTTCTTCCACTGAGAACCTGAGCAACCGACGTCTTGGCCAGGTAAACACGTGCAAGTCGCGCAAGCAACCAACACGTCATTCCGGTTTTCGATCTTCGCTGCCATTCTCGTCTTGAGGTATGACGCAACGGTGGCGCTGCAGCCCGCGCGCGGTGCGTCATCTGCAGCTGCCTCTGCTGGATTGAATCCGAACATTTGGATCTGACTGCCTCTATCGACAGCATTCGATCACGATCTACATCCCGATGGTACGATGATCAAGCTCGAGTCGATGGAGACCTTGAATCGATGGTAATCCATCGTAGTTTGCGTTGGAGAGGCTGCTTCTCCGGTGGTCTGCGACGGTCCACACCGTCGTGCTCGCATGCACATGCCTGTGCTTTTGCAACGACTTGAAAGGGGCTTCCGCGGCATGTTGGATTCGACGCGCTCTTTCCCAAACCGGACTGCTCGTTCCTTCATCGTAGGAACAATCCACAAGGACCTCGCTTTACACTCCACGTGTTCGACATGTTGGTCGTGTACGTCCCGTGGGAGCGCCGCGTGCGCCCACAGCCGACGGTCCATGGGTTTCTTGGCATGGTGTTTTGATCGTCGAGCTGTCGAGTGTGTTGCTTCAAGTACACGCCTGGAATTTTCTGCGACTGACTCGCGTCGATCGACTCCACGGCGGGATGCCGCCCCTTGCCGATGCTGTCTGGCTAGCTCCCAGGCGGGTGATAAGTGCTCGTGGCCACGGTCGTCCTGCTCAACATGCCCAGCGCGATTTCGGCGGCCCAGGTCGAGGCGCTTATGAGCTACTACATCCTGCGACCGTTATGGGCATGAATCTTGGAACAATGTTGAACGAAATGTAAGTTTGACGATGGTGCCACAACTAGGTTGGAGGTTGTCCCCCCAGCGTGGCGTCATGTACTCGACGGATGCAGATGCGGTCCTTCACCCTGCATTCAACGAACCAACGGACACTGCCCAGACTTCCAGCAGGGAGCTCTGATCTCACATGGATGGGTTGCCTTGCAGCCGTTTGTTCCGCCAGCGGATGTCGCAGACGTCGACAACGTGTCAGCTCCTCGTGAACCATCGACATGAACGCTCGAGACGGATAGGCTGAAGACGCCCGATGGTTTGATTTGTGAACAGAGTCACGCAGTAGTACTACTTCGACCACGAAATGATCTTCCTGATGGAGCTCGAATTCAGGTACCGGTCCGCCGCGATCCACTCGCTTTGGCTCTTTCACGTCGATGGACATTGACACTCCCAGCTCTTGACGCAACCCACCTCGTCAAGGTAGCATCTTGTCCCAGTGTAATGACGAGACGAGCTAGATAATCACAGGCGTGGAGCCGTCTCAAGCTGCTGTGCAACAAAACGAATACTTGATACGAAATTTGCCGAGAGGACGGCGGCAACTACGAGCAGAGTCCTCATGGCGTGTTTCGGAGCTAGTGGATGGGATGGCAATGGCGGTGACGGTATCCACCAGCATGGCCCGCTTGCTCCTACTAGTCTGCTGGGAAATCCCCTGGATGGGAGGTAGCACAGCGTCCACAGATGCTCTTTCGAAGGTCAATCCATCCAGTCGTACAGCCATGCTCCATTCCAGCTACACTGGAGTCCCAGCCAATCCACTCGACTCATCGAAACACAGCATGGTCAGGATGCATCCTGGTGCTTGGAAGCTTCAATTGTGGGTCGGCTGACGAACGGATCGGCGCACACACCGCGCGCGCCCCAACGCCAGCCCTCGGCCACCGCTCATTCGACGCGACGACAGTCGCGTTTGGAACATCCATGCGTTTTTATATCCCCATTGATTCCGTTAAATTTCTCATTGACTTTGTCGTACTAGACGTTTCTTTCGTTGGTCGCTCCAACGACTCGCTGTACCAGTCTAGGTGGCCTGCGCGGAGGCATTGTGCGCAATGCTCGAGCGGGGCGCCGTTTCATATGGCCAGGCATGCGCCAGAAGGGCCTTTGGGCGGCGTCCTTGCTTAAGTCCTGTCGTGCGCTCGCTACTCGACGCTCTCGACTACCGTGCACGACGAAAATCGAACGCGTTGTCTGTGGAATAGTCCATGATTTCTTTGAACATAGTCCGCCCGCACCATAGAAACCCCAAGTACAAGTGGCCCATTGGACTGGATCAACGGATTTGGGACGGATAGCGGACGAAGAAAACGCTGGCGTGCCTTGCGTCGGTCTATGTCGGGCGCGGCACCTTGTGTCAAAAGAGGATACGTTTTCAATTCGTGGCCAAAAACAGGGTTCTGCCGCGGCAGTTGGGTGGATGTTGCGGTCCCTGTTTTTGGCACATGTCGCGGGTGGATACGTCGCAACAGCCAATCAAATCGCCGGATTCGGAACAGGACTGCCGCGGCGTCAAAGTTTGACTCGCCCAAGGATGCAAAATGTACTCCCAGGAAACGTGGAGACGTACCCTGGGAGGGAGGGAAACCCGTGGCGTATGTCGCTGAGGGTGTCGCCGCTGCCGCTCATGCGAAGGACGCGGTCGTCGACGTGGGACACAGATACCGTCCAGACGATGCAGGAACTCGGGGTTCAACGCCTGTCGATCCCGCGAGAATTCAAGGACAGCACCCACGACAGCGACGACATGAAACCGCACGCGACGTCGTGGTCGATGCTGATTGAACCCCCTGAGGCATGCACGAGAGGAGAACCGACGTCGTTGTCGTGGTCAATGATCGACGACAGCCCGTTCCACCCCAAGACTGTACGTATTGAGGTGTGGAACAAGGCGTGGACCGTCCCGACTGTGATTGCCTTGACAGCCCCCAACTCGGGACACTATCTGTGGAAGCGCGTGTACTGGGGCATGCCGATCAAAGACGAGTACTACATCAAGATTTACGGGGCCGACGACGACGATTCCCAAAACCTGTTGGCGGAAAGCCCATACTTCTCCATCGTCAAGTGAACTTGTGCCGTTGAACTTCTGCTTTTTCCTCTCCCCACATCGCACGCTGTAAAGTACCTTCTATGCTTGCCTTCCATGCTCCTTCGACAATGTTGTTCGTCGAGTGTACCTACCCATCATCGCGCAACTGCCACCCCCCCCTTTGTTCTGTCGTTATGAGCTTCTGTGGTTCAAAGATCAATGTATTTATTTCATGTCAATTCGAGTGTTATCCCGTTCATTTGGCAGGTCACACCAGTTTCCGTGCACCAAAGTCACGACGCCGGGGCATATGAAGCGGACAACGCCTTGGTTGCTCTGGGTATGGCACTTCTGTGGTACGAATCGCACGAGTCGACGAATCATTTCCCCTTGGGCCATGCTTTCGAAGTCCTCCGCCACCGATACGCACTATGAAGGCAACATGGCCGCGCCGCCACCACGTCGCCTTGATCTGCGCGCCTCGCTCGCCGCACCCTCCCCATGTCGTCGCTGTAGTTGTCGCGGATGTGTCGGGGGCCCTTTCACATGTCTGGTCGAGTTTTGTTTTTGCAGCGCGCTTCCTTGCACCTCGTTTCTCAACGTGAGGATGCCGAACAGAACGCTTCCAACATCCATGAGGATGCCGAACCAAACGCTTCCAACATCCAGAGTCCCGTGGCGGGGCATTGCTTGGAGCAAAGGACTCGAGCATGGCCACCATCGCATGCACGTGCCTCCAATTGCATGGAACTCGTGCGACGCCCCACGCAGTTGCGTCGAACGGACTTGAGCGACGTGAAGCAACTGTGAACGAGAGATGCCTTTATATATATATAGTTAAATGTATATTTTGATATTTCATTTCGGTCTACAATTTGTCTAATTTTTGGGTAATGGCGTCGGTGGTCAGATCCCAACGACCCCCGGCGAGTTCTTCATGGACGGCAGGACGCTGCGAAGCATGTGATGGAGGCGGCGACGCATCTTGGCAAGCCACTTGCGCACAATCATGCGCTTACGACCGCGCATGGACACGAGATGCAGGTTCTCCCGCAGGAACGGATGGTGCAACAGGCCGTCCATCGACAGCCGCTTGGTTGGGTCCACGACCAACATCTTTTCGAGCAGGTCAAGCGCCGGTAGCGGGACCAAGTGGAGGACCTTCCATGCGCGAAGCACGGACGTGATCCCGTGCTGTTTCACGTACTGAAATACCTACAGAAGCACACCATGACAAAGGATTCGTGGAGTCGAACTGTCGTACGTTGTCCGAGTCGTTGGCGCGCGCAAATGGCGGGGCGCCCGTCAACAGGATCAGGAGCATGATGCCCAGCGCCCACACATCCACCGGCGCCGGCATATACCCTTGACGCAGGTACATTTCTGGTGCCATGTAGAAAGCTTTGCCCACAATGTGGTTGGATCGCTCGTCGATCGTCGTAGCGAGGCCGAAGTCGCACAACTTGGCGTTGCCTAGAACGAGCATGAGGACGTGGGACGACGATTCAAGACAGAGGCACTACCATTTGCGTCGAGGAGGACGTTTTCCAGGGAAATATCACGGTGGACATAGCCGCGATCATGGAGAAACTTGACGGCGTGTACGACCTGACGGAAAATGCGCGCCACCGCCATCGTATCCATGGGAAGAGTCTGTTCGAAGAGTTCGCCGCCTGCACAGAACTCAAAGACGAAGTGGCCCATTCCGTCTTCTTCAAAGTCGCGAAGCATTCGCATAATGTATGGATGGCATCCATCGCTTCCGCCGCTCACGGCGCGGTTCACTTGTTTCTCCATCACAATGTCTTCCGCGATCGGGATTCCTTGGATGGATGTTCGCATTGTCGCTGCGTCGAGGTGCATGCGCTTGATCGCGACCTTGGAGCCTGTCAACGTGTCCACTGCGAGCACGACATCACCATACAGTGCCTTCGCCAGCACCGTTTCCGTCGTGTACCTCTCCATGCGATCCACAGGAAGTTTGCAAGTTCCAAGCCAAGCACCACGCTGTTGGTGTGTCACGTTGGGCGATATCCGGATAATCTCTGTACCCGGATCATGTGGGGCTTTTACACAAGACGTAACGGCCGACGCCAGACCCAAAAGAAGGGCCACAAGCGCTCGGCCATGTGAGCGCAGGAACGTTCTACTCCCCATGCTTTGCCCACATACGCTGCGCACAGCTTGCATGGAGCAAGGATCGACGGAGGGAGAGGCCCGATGGTCCTTGGAGGTTCAGAGCGCGGGGGTTGTTCCGTCAAACCGGCTGAAATGGCACGACTCCAACCAATCAAAGTAGAGGAAACATTGTATTTTATCCAATCAAAGACCAGCATGTCGTGGCCACAGTGAACAGGGACACACGACTGCCCTCGTGTGACTGCCCACGTCGAGCGTCTGTGCCTGCTGAATCTCGAACACACAGCCCCATATGAAAGCGGATGGCGCTGGTTCCTGCATGTGATCCGGGAATGTCGTTCTCTTTGTCAAATGCACGCTGTGCTTGCCGTATTTGCACAAGACAGGAAGGCCAACTCGATATCAACGCGCCCGAAGCGCCATTCTCGGCGCGTGTGCCATGCTTTCGGTGAAACCGTAGAGAAATATCTTGGACATGGTATTGGTAGAAATGTTACCAAATTAACCAATCGGTTATCTTGGTTTTGCATGTTTGCCGTTACAAAATGTGCCAATCAATGGTGTTTCTATAAACGAATTTTATTGGTTCGGAGCAAGAAGAAAGAGCCAATCAGGTATCTTGATTATTTGTAGGCGTATCATTATCCAGTGTGCTCACGGACGACTCCGTCGAGCGGACGAGCCGCGACTGGTTCGTCGACGACGCCTTCCGGAACACCTTCTGGAAGAACCTGTGCACACCGCCCTTCTTCTTCTCGTCCTTTGATGCTGAATACGACGGGGACGGCTCGTGGTGTTGGAGTTGGTTCTTGGAAGCGAGCAGACTTGACAACGGATGGTGGTGACGCTGCAATGCTTCGTGTTGGGTAAGGTACGGGTGTCGGAGCACCTACGCACGACTGTGAAGACACAAGAGGACCTGCAACATTTGTGAGTGCGTACGTCGGAGATGGACAACCGTTTGTCGGGGGTGGCGACAACGAGGCGTTCGACCAAGTCCAATGCGTCCACCGGCAAGTGCGGCAAAACGTTCCAACCTTTCAGGAGTGTGCGAATGTCGTACTTCAAATACGACGCATACACGTTGTCTAAGACGAGAAATGATTCGATCGAGAGAAGGACAAGATGTTGAAGGGTCGGTACCGGAACTGTGGGCGCGCGCAAATGGCGGCATTCCTGTGTGCAGGATAAGGAGTAAAATCCCAAGAGACCACATGTCTGCCTTTGAGGCATCGTATGGCGATCCCAGGTACATCTCGGGCGGCATGTAAAAGAATTTCCCCACTGCCGACGACGGTTGGGTGACTGGGCATCGGGTTAGCATACACGAGAAACGATAGACAGATTCGCAATACCGTGAAAGGATTCAACGGCAAGACCAAAGTCCATCAGCTTGGCAACGTCATTTGCATCCACGAGGACGTTCTCCAACGAAATGTCGCCGTGAGCAATCTCATCTACAGCGTTTCGAGTCAAGAACGTGGCGAGGCCGGTTCATGCGTACGGGAGTGGAGGAAGGCCAGGCCGTGGCATATTTGACGCATATAGTGAAGCGCTTGAGATGCTTGAAGTCGTTGGTGGGGAGAGCTCTGCAGAATGGTAAACAGGTCGCCTTGATGACAGTACTCCAAGACAAAGTGTTCATGCCCCGCTTCTTCGAATGACGAGAGCAACCGAAGGATGTTTCGATGTCCGCCCATTTTGTTCACGTGTCGATAGACTCGTTTCTCAACGTGAAGGTCCTCTTGAACCTGCACGGCCTCGTCAATAAACTTCGACGACGCGATGGATCGTACCGTTGGACCACCATTCGCCTGACGTTTGGCAGCAGCGGCCAGTTGCATCCGCTTGATCGCGACGTGGTTGCCATTGTTCTTGTCCACGCAGAGCACGATGGACCCGAAGAGCGCCGGCGCCAGTTCCTTGACGACGTGGAACCGGTCCATGACGCCGCGATTCTATTATGGAATTCCAATTCCTTCTCGTCGGCGTCCAACACTCTAGGTTCATCCATTCGGATTGGCCAAAATATGTCGCAATCCTGCGATTGGATTGGCCATGAGGAAGAAATGCAGCTATTCTTACTGAGATTGCGCCCATGATGCGGTCTGCAATCACCGATGATGGCACGGTGATGGGTGGTGTGTTGGGCGGATGGCTGGCTCGGGAGCAATGTTGTCAGCTTGCACCTGGCCATGTGAAGGTGGGATTGATGTTGCTGGCCTGGAAAACTGCTGCTTTCTCATCACCATGGCACAGGCGCATGCACGGATGGGGCTGGGGACGCTCTGCTTTGGACAAGGCGCTCGGTCGGTATTGCTCTCGCAGCCCAAAGCATGCCATTCCCCAGCTGGGCAAAGCGCGTTCGCCCGATGTGGAGGTGCATGCTCTCCCATGCATGTGACGGGGGGGAGTATGTTCATTCCACACGCTTGAACTTCGCAAACATTCCCATCTGGACCACGAAATGTGGTGCACATCCCACCGCCGTCGATCGCGGCAAGGGGTGCATGTCCTCCACGACACTGGACGCAGCGCGCGCGTGCAAGGGCTAATCTGCGGTGGGCACGCATTGCGATGCGCTTCCAGCCGCGGTGACGATGTCTCTTAGCTCGCGTCGAGGCCACAACGGCTGGCCAAGGACACATCACGCTCGATGGAATCTAATTATAAACATCGACGTCGGTGGAGCGTTTTCACTTGATCGCGATTGAGAGCGAGCGAGATGGCATGGTGCAGCCGGACATCACGGAAACACCATCCCCCGGGAACCGGGCAGTCGGCCACGGCTGCAATCGGACCAGGCAGCTACAACACGATCGGGTCGTCCGTGAAGCCGCCCAAGCCGAGTTTTGCCGCGTTTGGGTCGTCCGGGCTCAAGGACGCGTGCCCTGATCTACCTTTGCATACTCCTGGGCCAGGGGCGTATGCGACGACCATATCGACGTCGTCATGGACGCCTGCGAGCTACGGCGACGCCACCGCATCGTCAAGCATGTTCAAGTCCAGTACGGAACGAACCAAGTTCAAATCAGCGTCGGCGGCTCCGGGGCCGGGAGCGTATGGCGCAGCAGCCCACCCGTCGGCCTTCAAAAAGTCCAAGGCCACGTCGACCATGTATGCGCGACCCCCATGGTTGGTCGTTGAGGGTCGTGACTCGCGCTGGTAGGCGGCGAAGTCAAAGCGATGCGAAAGCAAACAGCGGGGGTGGCGTCAAATGGGTCCGCGTGCCCACCGCGCCATCCATTCCAAACGTTGCGCAGAGCTTTGGCTACGAAGAAGGGCCGAAAGGGCAAATGATCCTTCAGCATCCATCGAAATCCGGGCACAGGTATCGGGCGCGCATCATCGTCATCCCCCACACCACCACGACCGGTCATGTTGAATATTTCCAGTGGCTGCGCCAACGACGTCACCGGACCCGGCGAGTACGACCCTCTCCAAGCGCTCCACCGGTTGGCATGCACGCGCGCGACTAGCTTCGCCAAGAGCAAAACCTCGCGGGATTCAAAGCACAAGAGCACTGTCGCGCCTGGCCCGGGCTTCTACCACACGGAAACCCACCCTCATCCTCACGCGGCCGTGCCAAGCGCAGTGTTCAAGTCAACACTCACGCGCGAGCGCGCCGCGCACTCGATGGCACGCACAACGGCAGCTGCCGTGCCTGGCCCTGGCTCGTACAACTCGTCGACTCCACAAAAGGCAAAGAAAACCGTGCCGGAGCATCTTCAGTTCTTTGGCAGCACGACGTCCCGGTTCGAGCCCAAGGCGCCGCCGACGTCGTCGATGCCCGCGACAACGTCGTCGACCCCGGTCAAGCCGCAGAGCCACCACCACAATCCCCACAACGTCGGGTTTGCATCGTCCAACAAACGGTTCGACACTACCCTGGCCAAGGACACGTTCGACGTCGGCCCCGGCTCGTACAACGCCCCCGGGCTAGTCGAAGAGCTCCAGCATCGTGTGGTACGCCGCACGCATGACGCCGTGGTCCAGGAACGGAATGCTTTGTAGAGTGGGCGAACGGGCGTATTTGGGTCGACAACGAAGCGGTTTGAGAGCGCGAAACCGCTGCTGGACACCGTGCTCCTCGAGCACGACCCGCGATCGAATAACCAACACGGTAGGTGGACAGCTTGCTCCTCGGACAATAGTCGTCACCGCGCGCGCGATCGATGGCATAGACGACACGATGTCCGTCGTCAAAGCCAAGAGCTCAGCGTTTGCATCTGCAACGAGTCGTTTTCAAAGCCCCGCGGCCAAGGACCCCGTGCCATGTCCCGGAGATTACAACGTACGTGCGATGTCGAGAGGCCACCGTGTCAACTTGGACCATGCCAGATCAACTTGACGTGGGACAAACCCGGCGGAAAAGCCGTGTTTGCATCGCACATGGATCGAGGCACGGCTCTGGACAAGAAGACGGCGGCGCTCCCGGTACGGTGTGCCGTCCCTAGTCGGCGTTGACGGGAATGGGTTGGACGTAGGGACCGGGGTCGTACGTTGGACCGGATTCGACCATGAAAAAGGCCAAGCCAACCACCCAGCGAAAAGACGTGTTCATGTCGACGGTAGCGCGATCTTTGCGTTCACCCACGTGACGTTGACGGTAGGAGCCGCGGTTCAAGAGCAAACTAGCGCCGCTCGCCAACCTGGTACCGATCAACGTCCGGCTTCTTCGTGTTTTCCCATCGTGTTGAGTAGGGGCCGGGCGCGTACAACCCCGACACCATCGAAACCGACTGGAACCGACCCACGTACAACATTACGATTGCCACCGAAATGGAGAAACGAATATGACCAACGCGTCTATTGCTTCAAGGCAGTACTGTGTCAAGTCCTTGTCAATTCATGGCATGCTGTGCCATGGAACGTAGTCGGCGCGCTCTGCGCCGCCGCATATCCTTCCAAAACACCACGACAACGTTGTCCGCCATCGCCGCCGCCGCCCCTGGTGTGGTTGAAACACCAAACAGCTAGAATGTGAGAACTATCCGGATAACGGGATAGTATCCGAATCACACGCCGATGTCCCGGATACTGTATCCGAACAGATCCGCCCGTTGAGAGTGCGAGTTTGCGTCGATCGCAATGGAGATGCAACATGAGGGCCAGGCGGACTCGAGCGACCCGATGGAGAAGATGTGGGTCGAGCATGGTGCTGGTGGTGATACCGACAAGAAGGTAGAAGAGTATACGCGCTACCGTCTCCAAGAAACACTCACGCTCATGGGATGCCGCCGCAACGACGCGATCATCGTGACGCGCTTGATGTTCGAACAATACCATGCACACGTTGATGGGCCCTCGCCCCGGGCATGGACGTTCCAGATGCTGCAACAACGAGTATACGCCGAATTGGCGCATCTGGAGTACAACAAGCCGACGCACTTGCTGGACTTTGATCTGGCGAAGGAAATCACTCAGCGCAACAAATCGTTTGTCGTGCTCTTGGGTGGGACGTCTGGTACTGGCAAGTCCACCCTCGCATCTCTGTTGGCGTCCCGCCTTCGCCTCACGACGGTACTTTCCATGTTGCATTTTCACGTCCGTCGTCACTCCACGTTGCGTAGGTGCTGCCGACAGACTCGGTGCGGCACATCTCCCGTGCATTCATGACAAAGGAACAAAACCCGTGCGCATTTACATCGACATATCAAGCGGGGGATGCGCTGACTCCCGCGCAAGTGGACGAATTAGCCAAGATCGCGGCGGGCGATATGAATACCCTCATGTCGGACAAGCGACTGCACAAGCGAAAGGTCCTCAAAGGGTACACACTCCAGAGCGATGCCGTGTTGGAGAAGCTCGATCTTGTGCTCACCATGTTCGAAAAGCGACGCCAAAGTCTCGTTGTCGAGGGTAAGCATGCCCGTTGTCGCGAACTCGCGTGCGCTTTTCCGCGCATCGTCGAGGCTGGACACGATTGATCGCGGTGTGTAGGTGTGCATCTAAACACGGAGCAGATGGCCGAGTTGGTCCGGCGCCATCCCAACTGCATTCCGTTTTTGATTTACATCTCGAACGAAACAAAGCATCGCGAGCGGTAGGATCGTCGACGTTGCGGACATGATTCCATGGCGGTGTAGGTTCGCCGTCCGCGCCAAGCACATGACTGTGGACCCACAACAAAACAAATACATCAAGTACTTTGACAATATCCGCATCATCCAGCGCCACTTGTGCAAGCACGCCGACAAGCTCCTCATGCCCAAGATCGACAACACCAACGTCGACCGCTCCCTCGTCACAATTCAAACAACTTTGATTCGTGTCCTGCGCAAGCAATTGCGAGGTACGTGCGTCGCCTTGGGAGATGCGTGATGGCCAAAGATAGGCGACGCCATGGTCGACAACGCCACGGGCAAATTCGTCCTCTTATCGCGAGAGCACGAGAACGCCATCAAGAAAGCCTGGTCAAGCAAAGGGGTGCGTGTGCTTGGGTCTATCGCGCTGGCGGCCGAGTTCGTCGATGGCGTGTGCACATTCTTGATGGGGTCGTGGCGCTTTTCCGTGCATGGTTGGCAAGTTTTTGTCGTGGGTCGCGTTTTGGTTTCGAGATGGCAATGTTTTCGATGGAGCCATGGCACGGGAGTAGCGACAGGAGCGGCGTTGTGTGTAGGTACGAAAAGCCATGCGACCGCTGATCAAGCAGCGCGTGTCGAAGCGGCTGCTGCTCCGACGGCTGCTGGCGGAGCAAACCATGTCGGACCCATGCCCTTTCCACGACGACAGGTGCGGCGTCAATCGTTGTCCTGGAGACGGTCCCCGCTGCCAACTCGAACATGGATGGCTGTAGTTCGTCGAGCGACGACGATAAAGACGATCGCGAGCATGGCCGCGAGGGCGGCGTCGAGGAAGAAGAAGATGAACAGACAACGGTCGTGGGCAGTCTACTCAGTCTGCGAGACAAGAGGCAATCCACTGACGTCGACGAGGTACTCCCCATCCCGCTGTGTGTTGTGTCATGTGAAGCAGGACTCGGTCGAGCTCTCGACGGCGATTCAACGAGTGGCGTTGTGGCGTGCAAGTCAGCCGAGCCCATTTGCGGCCCCATGTACGGCTCGAACATGGCGTGAGGAGGCATGCTAACCAGCCGGGAAAGGTTCGCATCGGTGCCCGCCGTACTTGGACGCGCACTCGGACCAAACGTTTGAAAGCACCGTCGCCGAAATGAAGTTGCTCTGGCGCCGCAACGAACGCACGCGGTCGTGGTTTACCGCGAGTCCGCATACGACTGCCAACTCGCCGACGTCGCCATTTGCCAAAGGTGGTCCCTTCCACCAACAGCCAGCATCGTTGACGGTCCGTAGGGTCGATGAGTGTGGTGTACGACGCAGCGACCCGCGCAACCCTGGCGACTCGAAAGGCCACACGGGTACGCAAGCAATGCGCCGCCGAGACAATGCCTCGATTTCATGCGGACGCTGTAGCTGCGGCCGTCGTCGGCATCGCCGAAGAAAGGTTTTTCCATGCGGCGCAAGACGGCACACAACCTCGAGAAAGACGAAGAGCAGTCTCCTCGATCGTCGCACCACCAGCGCCACCATCGCGCCACGACCTTGGCTCCCCCGACGTCCCCGCACGGCGGCGCGCCATCGTTGGATTTCGACATTGACAGCGTATCGGTCGCCGATGGGGCGGACGATGAACCAGACGATTTGTCCGAGTCGTCCTCGCACGCCGAGCACTGTATGCCGTATTTGTCGGCGCATTGTAACAAGTTGAACGGGTGTTTGGATGGTAGGTGCATCGCCGCTGGCGTCGCCGCTCGAGCACAGCATGGATGGCGAGTGCAACTTTGACTTGAGCTCGGAGGACAGCGGGCTCGACGACGAAGTGTAATTGGATTCCACCACCACTTCATCCCAAGTACGAGCGCGACTAATCGTTGAACGATGGCTGCGCGATCGTGTTTGATGCGCTCGGGTTGTTGCATGCGTTGGTGCAGTGTGTTGTGCGAACGAGCGATCCCAGCTCGTGTGCTGTCGGACGTGGATGGCGTCGAAAGCCTCATTCGACGAGGCAGCGACCACGTGGATGCTTTCTAGGTCGGCGGCGCTGTGGCGTTAGTCAACCAAGAGAATGAAAACGATTATTGCGGCAAGGTTAGAACGCTTTGGGTTTGGCTGGCAAGGCGGGCGGACGTTTTGACAAAGTCGGGCGCCACCACGGGCGCAGCACGGCGGACGTCGGGGCAAACAGCATGTGGTACTTGGTGTAGGAGAATCCGTACGCCCCCACAAACGAGAGCGCAACCCCCATGACATTCCACCGCGTGACGACGACGTCCGCAAACAAAAGGTAACCCGCGGCGGTCGACGCGAGGTCCTTGATATTGCCTGTCACGGACGTAGCCAACGGTGACGTGCGGACCTACGGCGCCATGGTGACTGCAGGAGTGGGAAGGGGTCGTACGGTGCAGAGATGGATCGCGACTTGGTACATCAAGCAGACAACGCTCATCGAGGCAAACAAGCCACAGAAGGACGGTATGTCGGTCAGCGTTGAGAAGAATGCTGTGACGCGATCTCGCTCCAAGAAGAGCGCGACGGGGCCGCAGAGCGCCAAGCCGGCCGTGCTGTGGACGTAGACGAGTGCGAGCGGCGACAGATTCGACTGCTTGGCGAGGATGAGGTTCATGGCGGTGCAGCAATTCTGAGCGACGACAAGGACGTAGCTGGCATGGCCGCGTTAGACTCGACGAGCACCATTTGGGTTGGATTACCCGTAGCCGTTGTACGTGGCGTCGTTGAACCCGGCGACAAGACTCCCCACGGCGGCGACTGCACGATGGACAGTTGTTAGAATTGGGGACCGACGGGGGGAGAGTGTATCAAATTACGCAGCAACGACGCCTTCATCGCATCCGGAATGACTTGGTTGCGCCACAGGATTTCCAGTAGCATCACCTTGAACGTAGTCAACCGGCGGAGAACGAGGTACCTAATGGAGCTGTTTAGTCGAGGAGTGGACTCGGGGGACGAGCGATACATGGGCATGTTGACGAGGCCCATGCACATGAACCCGACAATGTTGTTGGCCGAGTGCAAGGCCGCCATGGGCAGTGCCGTCCGAAAGAAGCACGAGGCAGACATGGACGGAAGCGTGATCAGGTGCAGCTTGTGTGCAGCGGAAACCAGCACAACGGTGAAGAGGTGCTGGATCGCGGCCAGTGAGTACACGGCGTTCCAGTTGTACGTGGTGATGATGGTCTTGGTGAAGATATTCATGCTGAGCGACAGACACAAGTACAGCGCGCACGGCCAGAGCGCGTGACACAGAGCCTTGACTTTCACCGTCGCCGCCAACGGTGCTGCCGCCCCCATGGCGAATTCCACGTTGAAGCGGTTGTGCTGCACTCGTTCTAGATTTCCATCGAATACGTCATTCGGATTGGCTACAGGTTTGCATTAACGTCCAATCATATCACACGAATGCATCGCTGAA